GACAATGATTATGGCAAATGGCTGGCGGATTATGGGTGGTGCTGGTGGTGGGCAAGTGGTGCTCCTCTGGAAGTGGAGGCGGCACCGTCTGGGTCACCGTTAGTCAATGCCACAATGCCCTAATCAGGGCATAAGTAGTGGTCCAAGTGGCAAGCTGCCGAGGACGGCGCGTCAAAATGATACCCTGGAAAGTGAGAAGTCGTGCAGGATGCAATCTTTGATGGAAAACAAATGTAAGTTTAATTATATATTTATTTATTTATTATGGGAATTTGGTGCTGGTCTATATTAGTTCCCTATGCTTAAGATTGACTTACGTCATAGTAACCATTCAGCAAAATAAACTTTTTAAAAACTAATGGGCATCTGCGCATGCCATACTCTTTCTAGCCCACGCTATTCCTTATTTATTGCCTCGTTCGTGCTCTCATTGGCACCCAACTTAACCTGGGCCAACCCAAGTGGTCCCAACCGAATCCCCAACTAAACCAAAACCAAAACCCAAACGAGCCCCAACTCCCTGTCCACCTGTAGTTCATTTCATTTACCGCTTGTTCCTAACAAAGTTCAATCCTTTGTCGCTGGCCACCCTCGCCCCGCCATTTTCCAGCGCCCCCTTCCAGGGGCGCCCCTGTCGTTTGTGCTTACGCCATTAACTTAAAGTGCCATTGGCCCCGAGATCGCTGGAGGAGGAAAAAAGGGGCAGCAGGAGGAGCATAAGAGCATCAGAGCATCAGAGCATCTGGCCATCTGCGTAGTCTGGGAGCACTTAACTTAAGCGCTCTAATTGTATTAAAAGCGTGTCCTTTCCCGCCTACGGCTGACCCTCCCCGCCCCCATCTCCACCTATATATCTATATATCCCGCCATATCCCTAGCAGTTTTCCCTTTTGGGTGGTCAGAGCAACGCCACACAGTTGGAGTTGACGTAGAGCCTCGTCTCGGCTCGTCTCGTTTGGTTTTTGGCCTGGCCAGCTTCTCGTTTTAGCCCGGCTAATTCGGCTAAGTGATTTTCATGAGTGCGTGCCCGGTTTTATCTGACTTATGGTTTAATTAGGGTCAGGCGAAAGGGGTTATCTGTGCCTGTCTGCCATTGCAATTAGTTCCGATTAGCCTGAACATGCTGAAGACCTATTTGTGGAGCTGCATGCATTTGCAATGATGCACAGCAAACAGCAATATGCTAATATATTATTGCCATGGATGCAGCTGTTTATTTGCATTTTCTTTGCTAGTTTTTATAGCTACCAATGACACTCGGGTATATTATTGACTCCTAAGTAAATCTCAGGCCAACTTCGGCGACTTTTCTCGCCGTGCAGCATCCGCTTGTGGCTTTGTAACAATCTTTCCGTTCGCAATGCGCTCTGGCTCACCTTTTTGGCCCACTTTACGAGCTTCTTCCCGCCCGCTCCGCCACTTGGCCTCGTTCTCAGCTGCTTATTTTTGGCTTGGAAGCGCGAATAGCTTGCCATTTCTGGCCGGGGTCTGCCACACACCATACCACACACACACACACACACACACACACAGTACACACCGCACCGTAGACATTCCATGGCTTTCGCCTGGCTGGAATCCGGGTAAATGTTAATTAAGCATCATTTACGCATTCAGGCCGCCATAATTTGCAGCGACAATGACACTGACAGCGCCACAATGTTGCGACAACTTTGACAAGCCCACCAGCCGGGGCACAGAAACGGAGTCCTGGAGACACAGAGCCTGACCCTTTGCCTCATTACCCCTTTTACCACACTGCCACTCGGCACGCAGTCAAATTTAATGTAACACAAAAGGTTTTCCACTTCAGTCGCCGTCCTACTTAATGGATATCTGGGACGTAATGGTTCCATTAGGACAACCGCAAATGTTTCAGCACACTGGAGGCCCGGGAAAAGAAATCGTTCAATCAGCAGATATCCGAAGGATATACTGTTTGGATCATTCAAAGCGCCGTGCTAATCACATTGAATTACAGTCCAGCGTTCATAATCGAACTTAATATTGATATTTAGTTATATTTAGTTTTTTTTGCAAATTTATTTATTATGGACGCAACCTGGGTTCCTGTGTTGCAGGGTGGTATAGCCCAATCTTCGTCCACTTTTGTGGAGTCCCGGTGCCACACCATCTGCTGTTCTGTTGGTGTCCTAGTGTCCAAACGTCCAATTCCGCTTATCTGTCCCAGACAATGGACACTGTGGCCGTGGATTAGCTCAGCCAAACGGTTATTTAGCGGCATCCAGAGCGAGGATTGTCCTCCCCAGCCACCTCCTCCTTTGCAGGACTCCGCCGAATTGTGGCCACAAAGCGGCCGGTGAAGTGCGCCCAACAGCTGGCCAACAAAATTCAGCGATGGCCAACAATACGTCCAACAAAATCCAACGATGCCAACGTCCAACGTCCAACGTCCAACGACCAACACAAAAAGCAACAAATCGCCGACCGTAGAAACAAAATAATAATAAAGACAAGCAGCAACGTGGAATGGCGGAGCACAAAACCGAAATACCAAATAAAATTGCACAGCAAGGATGAAAATGAAGCGGGTGCAGGAGTCGCAGAAGAAGAAGACCAGGAAGGAACCATAGAGTCCTGCGAAAGAATTATGTTAAAAGCCAGGAATAACGTTGACACGAGGAATTTCGGGGAACAACACGAGACTTACCCTAAAGGGAAGTAAAATTTATAAAAACTCATAAGTTGCTTTAAATACCCAATATTATAGTTATTACATTGGAGTATTCAAGTATTATAAGTAACCTGTTGGATGGACTTGTCAGTACATATATGTATCTGCTGCCCAGTTATTGTATTCAAAATATAAATGCTTACTCTTAAATATACCACAGAATTAATAATTTCGATAATCTATCTATTCAGTCTAATGAGTTTTAAGGATTATAGTTTTCTTATAATAATCAGTGAATCTCGCACTATAATTTTAATTGGCCTAAATTCTTTTTTATTGCTTATAAAAATTCAAAAATCCACCGCATATTGTGTGTATACTATGCGTTTAGAAAATCAGAATATTATAAATGCTTAGGTTACAGTTTTCTTCGAGCATGACACCACTCGATATTACAGGGTATCGCTGATAAAGCGAGAGGCCAAGTTAGGGTCGCAAGTCGCGCACACATTTCTCACACCAAATGCAAATAAAACGACGCCTTGGAATTGAAATAGAAATAGAAAATTGCCAAACAAAAATGGCAGCATAAACTTTTGCTGTTTGCCGCTTCCGTACGTCATTCGTTCTCCTTTCACCTCCTTTCTCCGTAGGTCGTAACTCTCGCACACACACACAGACAAAATAAGAAAGGAGAAAGCGAATAAGACACAGTGGCACATATACGCACAAAAGTCTGCTGCTTGTCGACATTTTGGTAATAAATTGAGTTTTATGGCAGTCATATTATTCTTTATTAGTGGGTAAGAATTGTTGCCTTTTGTTGGCTTTTGTTGCCGAAACGATGTCTCAACCAGGCCAATATCCTTGCCATCCCGAGCGTCTCGAGCGTCCCGAGCATCCCGAGCATCCGGAATCCTTAACCCAGAAAGGCTAGATGTAACTTGTTCGATTCCGAAGTGGCTGCGCTGTGTGGCTTAATTAATTTGGCAGTGTTTTGGGACTGGTTGTCAATAGATTGGCCGGAATTCCCAGAAGTCCTCGGCCGAATCAATCAGCGCCAACGGCTCGGCGCTCGAATCTTTACTCTTTCATATCGCAGGAACGCGGCTGGTAAATCAAAAAGTCTTATTCAAAACTCGTTCAAATTTGACGTTAAATTACTCCCGGCTTTCGAACTTCGCGGGAACACTAATCAGGTTAAAGCGCCCGCCCAAAATGGGATAATCCGTCAATCGGAGCCCGCATTTTCACAGCTGTCAACGCAGCCAGATTGGTTATTGGAAATTAGCTTTGCCTAGAAGAATAGCAAAATATTTCAGGATAAACTATACATAAAGCAAATGGTTAAGTCAACTGTGTTAATCAATGTGCAGTTTGTAGGGTTAAAAACGATAAAGTTCTTTAAAATATAATATTATTTGTATTATTTCATAGCGCTATATTGCATAGATATTTTTTCCAATATTTCTATAAAATGTTTTTGATCAGTTAGAACTAACTGTCTTGTTTCTTTCCGTGTAGCGGCCTAGCATCAAGGCCATTAAATTAGCAATCATGGATAGTCCGCCAGCCTCTCGTACCTGATGATCCATGAAACGTCGAAAACTTTTGCCTCATTTCCGGAAGCACTCGAGTCCTGGATCAGAGGAGCCACAAAACTGTGCATAATGCTCCGCCCGAGTAATTTATCATCCTCCGTTCCAATCCCCGCGAGGGATTCCGGATGGCGGCCTAAACCAGCGGGCGGTGGTACAAAAAATTTGGTGGCGAGTGGGCCAAAAACCTTTTTGGGTGGCGGGGAGCGAAAGGAATGCGGGGCGGTGGCCGATGATTAATTGCTTGACTGTCCAGTCGAGCGGAAAATTCACAAAACATTTCCATCATCAAAGCACAACTGATTTTTCTGCGGAAAAGTGAATCCTGTCAACGATGAAGCGAAGGCAGACAGCTCTTCAAGTCCAATGTAGGAGTAATGCTCCTTGTCAGTTTGGCCAGTTTGATTTCAGAGTTTTTGCTAATTGCGAATATAGTTTATTGGCCTTAAATTTATTCCTTGCTAAATTGCATATTTCGAATTCCAATTTGTTGCATTGCAGACTAATTAGTGTCGCTTGGCAATTTGCTTGTTCGCAAAAACAAAAATCAATCAATGGTGAGCAACATCTGAATATAAACGTCAACTTCATCAAGATTTTTGGTGCTATTAATTTCAATTATGTCTTGTTGCACGCTGCGATTATTGCAAGTAAAACATGTAAGTTGAATAGTGGAGGGAATTACTTTTAAGTATCTACTTATCTTAGCAGGATGTCAGATAAAACCTAAACAATTCATTTAAATATCAAGGAACCCACCACACAATTGTCACCCAACTATTCCAAAAAGAGAAACTCGAATTAAGTCCAAATTTTCAGCACGTTAAGCATGGACTTGGGGCAAAACTTGACCGCCGCCATGATGCAGTCCTCGGCGGAGGCGGGCAAGTCGGAGGAGGCGTGGCCGGCGGTCGCCCACCTGCATCATCCGGACGAGGCGAATCAGCTCCTGCTGCCGGAGCGCTCCAGCTGCCTGGCGGTGAAGACCTACCTGCGCATGTGCAACCTGCCATTTACGGAGCAGATCAGCGACAACGCGGAGTTCATGTCGCCTGGTGGTCGATTGACCCACCTGCCACTGCTCCGTTTGGGTCCGGTCAAGACCTTTGCGGAATTCGAGCCAATAGTTGCCCAGGTGGAGGTCATGCAAGGCGGCAGTTCCCTGGGCAGTTGGATGTCCGAGGATCAGCGCGATGACATCCGCTGTCTGGTGAGCTATGTGGAAAATGTCTTCACGCTGGCGGAGATCCACATGAGCTTTGTGGATGAGATAAACTACCAGCTGTACACGGCACCGCGCAGTGCTGCAGCTCATCCGTGGCCATTGAGTGCGATTCGCCGGCAAGCCAAGCAGAAGGATGCACGGAGGATCCTGAAGGTCTACCAGTGGCAGGATCTGGACAACGACCAGGTCATCCAGGAGGTGGGCGTCTGTGCCGATGCGTTGGTCGCTAAGCTGGAGGAGCACAAGGCGCAGGCTTATCTCGGCGGACCACGGCCTTGCGAACTGGACGCCCTGGTCTTTGGCCATGTGGCAGCCATAATGAGCACCAAAGTTCCCAACATGGAACTGGCCGAGGTCCTGGCCACCTATCCACGTCTTCTGGCCCACTGTCGCCGCATCGATCAGAGCCTATTTGATGGCAAACTTCTGGCCAGCGAGGTGGAGGCGCAGGAGGAGGAGCCGGAGTAGCAAAAATAAAATGAAGGAACGGACAGGACTCGGAATCCCTCTGCCCCGGAACAAAGGATTCTTATTGTTTTTTTATTTGGCCAAGGTCGGAAAGGCAATCAAAAATATGCAAAGCATTTACAATAAAAACGCCAGACAAGTCGGAGGAGTGGGTTTTGCATGGGCAGTGGCAAGGGGAAACTCGAGCCACAGTTAAGCCAGCGCACAATGCCATAAAATTCAGCAACAGACAAGGCAAACACTAAAAGAATTTCAATTAGATAAATAGAAGAATTTTAGTACAAAATGTATTCATGTATTCACTTCATAATACTGACAACCATAGTTGCTTCCAGTTATAGTTGCCAATTAATAATTGACTGCCAAATAAAATGGTTCACACATTTGCTTGTAATATATTAAGAAGCACAATTATGTTCCCAGTGTACTAGGCAGTATTTTCGGCGCGGGCTGGCATTCAATTTAAGTTCGCCCTCGACTTGTAGGTTCGATTTTATGACTGGCCCAAAGTCACCAATCTCAATGCAGAGTTCCCTGGGAGAAGAGTTTTCGGGTCTGCGGAATCCAGTACTCCGGCTAACCCGTGTGACATGGCCGCATCGTTCGGACAATCAGGGAACCATCATCGACATCGACGGGTCCGCTGTCAGCCAGCTTCCCATGTTTTCCTACCATTTTGCCCCCTTTTTGTGCTTTGCAATCAGAAACTCATCATGGCCTATTGATGATTTTACCCGTTGTTCTTTTTTTTTTGTTTTGTATGTTTTGCCTTTTCCTACGACTCCCAGAGGATAATCTTCGTTGGCCTTGATGGCTGTCCCTCGACTTGGTAATTTATTGGAATTTGCCAAAAGGATTAAGTACGCCAATAAGCGTTGCTCAACGTCAATGAGCGCGTGAGCTCCATCTCCATCCCTATCTCCTTCATTATGAAACTCGTTTTCGTCCTGCCATCGGAATGGGAAGCATCAGACATCAGCCGGCATCGCCATTATCGTTGCTGCCGGCCATTTTCAGCCCTTTCGTCTGTTTCCGCTTCCGCCCGACTTCCGGTTTGGAGTGTTAGTGCGTGTGGGCTGCACACTCCGCTGCCAAAAAACCGATGAACGTGGCCCGTGTCGAACGGCAACCTGATTTGTGTGGATTAATATTTCAATTTCGACATCTGCGGCGGTAAGCATCACTCCATCAATTGTATCGTCACTGTGTTCCACATAATATGTACAAAAATATGTCACACACAATACAGGTTCGCCTTTTAATAAAAATAAATTGAGCCCAGGACCTCTCACATGCGAAGCGAGCGCTCTACCGCTGAGCTACGTCCCCTTTTTTTATTGATTATTAATTTAAATTAAGGCAATATCAAACTACTAGAAAAAATGTAAAACAAATAATACAACATAATACAAAAACAAGAGAGAACGCTTTAGTGTTGTTCCTCGACTATCAGATACCCGCTATTCAGTGTCCCTTAAGCCGCCTTAAACAATATAATATACATAAGTTCTTAGTGATTTTATCCTAATCGCCGGACATTATTCACTCGATTTGTACTACTGAATGGGATTCAGTCAATTTGGATTTGCTCAATAGAGCCTTTAGACAATCGATTTTGTCTTCAAATCATGGTACTTGAGGCCTTGAATCATCTGAAGCTAAACTTTTACGTCGCCCGATTATCCATCATCCGCATCCGAGGAGTCCCCATCATCATCAGCGACCTTCAGCTTGCATCTTCCGCTCGTCCGAGTAACCCTAATGGAAAGTATATAAAACACAATTTGTTTTCATTTTGTTCTTCCACGGAGTCGCTGAGCGACTATCCCGACTTTCTCCGGCTTTTCTCCAACCCCTCCTCCAGCCCCCGCCCGCCCACGCAAATTTTAGCGACTTTCTCTGCCGCTGGCCTCTAGTTTTCAGCACCTTATCCTGCAGATCCTTGTAGCATCCCGGATTCAGCATTCTGTCAGCTTAACCGCTGCCACTTGCCATTGTTGGCTGTTTATTTTGGTAGCCGGGCTTTTTGCGAAAACTTTTGCACATGCCACGCCCAGACGCCCAAGACGCCCCCACCATCTGACTGCCGTAAGGCACTAAACAACAGATAGACTAAACAGGACAAAAACACCGTAGGTATGCATTAAGATATATACATACAGAGGTGCACCTAAAGAAATATTTGCAGTCATTTATAGTACTATTCTTGCCTTTTCGTTTATTTCACTCGGCCAAGAGCCCTGAATATAAAAGGCGAAATCGTTAACATCATTAAACATGGTGTATTTTAGAATGCCTAATTTTCTCCCAGTGTCCAGCACTTATATATGGAAAAGTTCCACGCCATAGCTTGGTCGGAAGTGGGGGCTTTGGGCCAAAACTTTCTATAGCCTACAAATTTTCTTTTGGCTCCAAATTGGCTGAGGGAAGAAAGTTTTGCTTGCGGCTACTTTCGCCGCTGCTCGGTCACCGATGTCGCAGCCAGATGGCCAAGTCCATCTATATCCACATCTTTATCTGCTTGGCAAGCACCATGCCTCCCCTCCCCACCTCACTTGCCGCCCCTCCCGGCCAGAAAGGAGCCTGTGCAGTGATTAGGCAATAATTCTGTGGCACGCAAACGGGGCACATATTAACCCGCCCCGGGAAATATGGCGTGTCATTGAACAACTCAATATCGCAGGACTCCAAGCCACTCACTCACTTACTCGTTGGTCCGCGGGCTCCACGACCTTTTCGGTTGTTAGGCAAATCACGTAAATTCCTTTAAACGAATTACTTTCAAATTACCGAAAATATTTGGATCGCCTGGCTGCTTTCCCGATTTCCTGAGCAGGTGCTTGTGTGCTGTTTGCTCTTTTCCAGGGCGACAACAATGGGCGGGCATTTCGGCGGAGAGTTTGAAATAAATATTATTGCGTGTAATTTATATGAAAAGTTTGCGCCTCGTGTTCTTAGGTTGTGATGTTACGATTTTACGATTTTCCGATTTCCCGATTTTCGTACTCAAAGCCATGATTTTCGGCTGAAAAGCCAACCAAACTGCGTCTCAATTTATGCAGATACAACAAAAGCGGTCGCAGTTTATAAAGTAGCAACAAATAATTGACCACCCGCTCATGCGGGGGGCGGGGAAAACTGTTGCCGTTTTCAGTGGTTTAAAGAAGAAAAAAAGCGGAGTAGGAAAGCTGCGAGCAGTGAAAACTCAGCGGAAAAACGCGCTCAAGTGGCAATCATCATGATGTTGCCGCCGCTGCTGATGATCATCATTGCGGGCTGCACTTGGCAATTGTTGCCACCAAAGGGGGCACCCCCCCATCCTTCCCACATAAATCCCCAACCCCCTCCCTCCATCATCGTCCCGCGAGCCGCCCTGTTGAGCGCTTAAAAACACATTGCACGTTGAAATTGAAGTGGAATGCAACGCAATGCATATAAAAACCCAGACGTCCTGAAAAGTGGTATCTCCAGGAAAACTCCCACACGTTATTAATAAACAACAAATGTTAGCTTGGCACTTATAGTCATAACTATTATTAATCATTGTTCTTAATATGATACAAGGCAAACAAATATTAGTTTTGCAGCCAATTCAAAATACTTCATCTAATACTACAGGTAAACTGCATTGGCATGCAAGAAATTTTCGAAATTCTCTTGAAAAATACCAAAAAAAATTGAAAATCACATTTTTCAGTTGTTCTTTAAGCCGCATCAGTAAAAAGTTGTATTTTATCAAGATCAAATTCCTAATGAATAGGGTAACAAATTGGACACCCCAGTGATTTGCGTCCTAAGCCTCACTTATTTATGAGATTATATAAATACTGTTTTGATTTTGGTAAGGCAATTTAGACGGGGAAAGCGTTTATCGGTACGTGGCGAAAGCACGGATACATGGGGCTTAAACATTGGCTTTGCTTGCCGACTGGCTTGTTGTTATTGGATCCACCTTGTGACCGCCCAGCCAGCCACTCCAACCACCTTCAACCACCCTGAGCCACCCACAACCACCTGGTCACGTGGCGGCGGCGATAACAAACAAATGCAATTATGGATTTACGCGGCGTATGCGCCATATTTATATGTTTTTGCGGTTGCCTTACATTTTAATTGAGTTGCTGGTGCAGCTGGCAGCCCAAGCTGAAAAACATTAGTTGTAAGTGTATCTGTATCTGTATCTGAATCGGAACCAGAAGACCGAAGCCAAGTGAAAGGTGGGTGGGCGTGTGTGGAATGGCGTGAAGGAGGAAATTGATGCGCTTCGGGTGCAAAAGACATCAAACACTTGAAATATTTTGTGTAAACTTGAAAAATGACATGAAAGCGGCCTGAAATAACAGGCCAAATGGTGGGGGGGCGGGTTGTTTATTTACTTTTTTTTTTTTTTTTTTTGAGTGGATGGATGGCAGAATGGCATGCAAAAGTAAACAAACAATTTGCGGGTCTTGTCTCTGACATATGAGCTCGAAATATTTCTGAAGGGGCGAAAGGGGAGCTCACATCTTACTCGATGTGTCCTCCAGCTGGTGAGTGGCGTGCGTGGGTGTGCAAAGTGTTTCTGAAAGATGATTGATACGATTTGGAGTGCTCCCAGGGCCGCCGACATCCGCTTCCCTCGATCCGCTCCTGTGCTTGCCGCTCGGGGGCGCCGCATAAGCGGCAGCGTAATGAAGCGGAAATCGATTTCGTCTTCAACCCGTGCGACCCGGGAAATCGCTCCTCGGCAGCGGGCGTGCGTGAAAAGTTTGACAGCAGCCAGGAGCACCACCACCCGCAAGCCCATCTCTCGGGATGATGAGCACCCCGCACCACCAAACCTGCAAAAACCACACGCTGAGAAAATATATGTGCTTACAAATGCTGCCAAATAATTAAGAGGGGTGCAGCAGAAATCTCGTTCATTTTGTTTTTAGAGATGCCAGAAATGTCGCATAACATGCTGTAATTAAATGGCAGTTTTTCCAGTGCACCCCTTTATGCCCATTTTCCCCGTTTTCCCGAAAAGCGTAAACAAGAAAATATTAAGCAGCTGCGAGAGCAAAACAAAAACGTAACGCTGCCGAAAAAAACTTGGAGTTGGGAAA